CAATGCATTGAGGTATACAGTACCCATTTGCTGTTGTAGCAAATGCAATAGGTAATCCAGTTATGCATACAGGAAATTTGCACACTCTCCACATGTAACCAATGATAATGATCGGCTATTTATACAGGTTATTTATATTATCCTTGAAGTATATTTTAGTATACTTTTAAAAAGAGTACTTATGTTTTCGGACCCTTATATAATTTATCATAGTTTAAATGTATACTAAATGCAATTAGTTAAATTTTTTTTTGGGACTCACTTAAGTAGCCTAGTATGTTAGATTATGTTATTGTCTTTGAAGTAATATGTTATTGTCTTTGAAATATGGATAAAGTGTACTGCCAAAAGTACTGACAAGCATTTATAATAAACTAAAACATATTGTATGGTCATCTTTATTCAAATTTGTATGTCATGTATTTGAATATATTTGTAAAACAGTTGTAATGAGGAAGTTAAGACATTTAACATAAGCTACATTAACTTTAAATGTAACATCAAATAACACACTACAGTTAAATTATAATGAAGTACTATACATCTGCTTTAGTATGTTAGTCAACACATCAAAGTAAGCACACGTAGGACAACAAAAGCTTATTAAAGCCTAATGATTTAAACTGTACTTTAAAGTAAACTTTTAATTTGACGTTGTGAAAGTGTAAAAGTGTATTTAAGTGTATTAAACTTTTAAGTGGCTTATAAATAAAATCTGCAAGTACAGTTTTTTTTTAAATATACTTTTAAGATTTAAAGTACACCACAAGTGCACATTCAATACATTTAAGCACACATCTTTTGCACAAGGGTTAAACATTACAAATCATGGTTATTCACATTAATAAGTAAACTGATTAGATGAACAAGCAGCAGTCGATAACCTGTCTGCTTTGTAAAGTATTGTGGAAACAGAATGAATATGTTATTGCAAGCATAGACCTTGTTTTTGCAGGGTGTGAAAGAAATTCAAGAGGAATAATCTGCTTATTGTGTTTAGAGACATTTTCCAATAAGCAGAAACTTGATCAGAAACTTGTTATTGTGTGTAACTCCTCATTCCTTGCCAGCTTTAACTCAAGACGATTATTAGCACAAATGCTCAGACAAACAGCACAAAGTACAACCATTGTTTCTCACCCGGCTACAATCACGGTCTTCAATATAAACTGTTTGTGGTAACTCATTTAAAGATCACCATGCAAAATATAATTGTTATTAATTATTATTTTTTAAGCAATGTAAAAATGCTCTCGACACACAGCAGCCACGATAGCGCTGTACTGATATAGGCTTATGTTGCATTTAATTTTTCCTTTTTTACTCAAAATATTCCCAAACGTGTTAACCATATCAAGAAATATCTCGATTCTCAAATATGTGCAAGTAAAAGCATTTTGCACCTTTATAGATCATGTCAGTTGGTCTATAACGGGAGATGGGCAACATAGCCTAATGTTATCTATTAACTACGCATAAAACCCATCTTTTTACTTAAGTTAGCCTACCAGATATGGGTGTCATGCCATAAAAATATTTTTAATACGACTGACTTTATATTTAACGTGAATTTAATAAAAATATTTTAAGTTACGACAAGAAACGACTAAAAACACATCTGTTCCATCTTTATTTGACCCTCTAACTCTAGCACTTTCTATTCTATTTTAATTCTACTTCATCTATTTATCTTCTTTTTAATAAAAAAATAAATTAACACTAGCTTTTTGTCCTCATTTGTAAGTCGCTTTGGATAAAAGCGTCTGCTAAATGATTAAATGTAAATGTAAGTTACAGAACATTTACATTAGCCATCAAAGAACATTATCATTGACTTCAGTCTAGCCAGAGTTCAAGCACTCTCAAAAATTCCACTGTGAAATGAATAATCTTCTTACATCGTTCGCACATCTGCACTTTGTTGTTTCTGATGAGAAATAATTCACCAGAGAGCGCAATTCAGTCAGCGAGTGCGCACACTGAACAAAACACCGGCGTTTCAGCGATGACTCATCTGAACGCCTCTGATTGGTCATTGCATTCATAAGCTCAACAGAATCGTGTGTGATTGGTTATAATGCGGCTAGCTGTAAAAACGCGTCTGTGTCTGGCTCAGCACCAGCCAAAACGCGAACTCAGATTTGATTTTAGCAGCTGGGGATGTGCTGCACTGAATGTTCTAATCACACCAGTGTGATCGTATTAAATATAAAAATAGTATTCCCCCTCGTTTTGAATGGGCATGATCAGTGTTGCCAACTGCTTTCAATTGAAAGTAGCTAAAACTGGTAGCTAAATGTCATTAGATGACATCACAATGGCAAATTCACTGATCTATATAAAGATGAACGTAGATCAGTGGGCAAGATGAGAACTTAGATAAGGTTTGTCCAAGCAGTTACTATATTTGTCCCTAAACTTTTGAAAAAAGTCTCAAAAGGGGCGGGGAAGTCGCTAAATTTAGCTACAAAGTAAAATCTAGCCATGCTACATTCATGACTACTGGCTACTTCCAGTAAACATTGAGTCTGTCCGCGACAGGGCCCTGGCACACACATAGCCTACTCCTTTTGGTTCTGGGAATCTGGCGCCTTCCCTGTGCTTGTCTCTCCCCGTATACTCCTCCTCACTGCGCTCCCATGGCTTCTCTACTGGTGAAGCGGCTCTAATCACCCCTATCGAGGTGGCTTAGCTAATTGGCAGGCGCTCTGTCACTGGGAGCGCATCTGCTACCTGTTTGTACCAATTAGCAGATGTGAGCCACTCCAGTCCGATGCCTCCGCACATGCGACAGATTCTGCAATTAGTGGCTCGTTTAGAGAGAGCGCCTCAATTAACATGAGTACCCTTAATTACATATTCGCAGAGGATGCGGGAAGATCCTGGCCTCTCGCAGTTCACCTTGCTCATTCAATTGTGATGAGATGAGAGAATAAACATGATGTTCAATGACACAGCAGATTTCATTATAATATTTCCAGAGAGACACGCCATGTGATGAATCATGATCACTTACATTGAAGCTTGATTTATACAGAAAGAGGAATGCAATTACAGTTATAGCAGGGGTTTAAAATGCTTCTACCTGACAATGACTTTCAAACGGAATTTAGGTAGTGGTGTTTGCTTTGGTTGAACCCTTCATTTTTGGCGTTAGGGATTTCAACAAAGCTGAATCAAAATGCATTTTAATGTTTTGGGAAAAAAGTCAAGGTGATTAAACTCTCGACAACATGATAAAATGAAAAGCCTCATTAAAAGAATGAAATTCTAGAAAAGAAAAGTAATACGGCATAATCTTGTATTATTATTTCTTTAACAAATTTAACAAAACTGCTTCACTGCTTTGATTATTAATATTTGAAAAACTTTTGTGCGCCAAATCAAAGTCCTGTAGTGCAACCAACATGCAGACAAGGTTAATTGGTTAGTTCAGGTTGTAAAATGTCATGTTGTGCAGCTCCTAAAAGTGTAGGCCTGATGATATTTATGAATTAATAATTTGTGATATTTGCATTTATAGGCCTATTTAAAACACATTTAAAAACTTTTCCCTTTGTATAATATATATAATATATATATATATATATATTGGCTAATTTTTAGATGTACAGATTCTTGGAATTGCAGGTACATGTGTATACATTCTTCAGCATATTTATGAAAGTTATTATGAATCATAATCTGTATCAATCTCAACATTATTTGTATCTGCATCTGCGGCTAAAACTGGAAGTGGGCTGGGCTTAAAAACGGAAGATATTCAAATTAGACGAGAAACCGTTTTAAATGTAATTCTGTACTGTTCATAGTTTTTAATACAAATATGCTAACTCATACAAAGTAAGTTGACTCTCTTTCAACATAGCTTCTGATGTTCATTCATGTTTATTTTGTGCTACAACTAGTAGTAAAAAAGAAGAGATGATGCGTCTACAGCAATCTGTCAATTGCATCACTAATGTTGTGCTATCCCTGGCTCATCTGCTATCCAAGCAAACACAAGGAGTGACTGTCTAGGCCGAATACATAAATACATTGTAATATTCACCTCAACTATTCTGCCATCTACACATACAACACATTTTTTAAACACATCTAATATTAATTAAACTTTTTTTTTTTTTTTGATAAGAAAGAGAAATTGATAACGGCAATACCAACTAACCATAAAGCCTTTACAGAGAAGTGGACACACACGTCTGCTTCAGGCCCTAATCTGAGTCAGCTGCTCTCATCGAGGGGCCCACTGTCATGTGAACCCATGTGAGTTGGCTCTTACATATTCTCAGCACAAAGATCAAAGGCTCTTTGGTCTCCATCCTGTGCCCAAGGCATCTCATAGAGACTTTCACATCACATGCTTCTTGAACTGATATGCTTTTAAAAGCATAAACACTGCTTTGAGATCAGCCTTAGCCTACAGTACCCATCTACTCTGATGTTTAACAGCTGATCAGAAATCAGCTGAGTTTTAAACAAGACTGTGGAGGGCAAACCATATGAAAACTGTTAAACCACATGTATGTATGTGGACACTTAAATCACACAAATGTCTTGATGTAATTTAATTATATAAAATATTACACATTTTCTCAAAATTATAGTAACTTAACTCTTCTAACTTGACTCTCCCAAAGTAATTTTAATGGACGTATGAGAGGTTATTGGTGGTCAGATCCTCTCAAATTCGCGACAATGCAACGACATTCATTTGCTCGTGCGACTTAAATGTGCAGATACTTTTAAGGCCACTGTATAATAATGCAGAATCTAGTTTAAATATTTAAAAGTTCCGATGTAACATTACCATTGTCTTAAATGGAGACAGTTACAAAATGAATAAATGTCCCGTTACAAAACATGCCACTTCATACAAAAGGAACAATGAAATAATTGAAAAGTATCAAAATGTTGAAAAATATTCAAGATAAATATTTAGCCTAAATAATTTAGGCTAAATATTTTTAGAGGTATCAACATGTTGAAAAATGACATACCGTTTGTCCCAGAGTCCCAATGACCATCTGCATGTAATATCCCCTACCAGAGTCTCCTTTTAAATTATTGATCATGTCCAGAAAGTTGACGATCCCAGCTGGATCCGAAGCCAGGGAAAGACCACTCTCCACTGCGCTTTCAATCTTTCGCAAAGGCCTGAGGTCCAGCTGCACAGACGCGTTGAACTTCCCCGCAAACATTTTTAAAGGTATTTTAAACACTGAATGGGACATCCAGAAGGAAAGAGAAAGTAGCAGAAGCCCGTAGAGCCGCATCTCGCCAAACTTCACGTTGACCAGACAGACAACACTCAGCTTTGCTGTAAAGTGCAGAACTCTGTCATTGATAGTTTCATTCTCATTATTAGTTATGGGAATACTATTCGGCAGAGAGTATGTGAACCAGACAGATGCCGCAGGGATATAAAGTAGCCTATGTGTGTAATGTTCAGTTGATAACTTCCTGAAAGAGCATATGACGGATATGACGAGCATATCCAAACATTCCAGCATTTAACTAGGGCCAGAGGCACGGGAGAGAGAAAGACTACTGTTGTGTCTCAAAAGCTTGCGTGCTGCGGCTGCTAGACAGCAGTTTGGGGCGGCTATAGGCTGAGAACGCTAACGGAACGCGACGGTGAAGCTTAAAATGCCGTCTACTCTAGGCTATCTCCAGGTGTGCACTGTTTCCCTTGAAAATCATATAGAAAGTCCATAATTAATAGTTCTTTAAGACACCCTGTTAACTTGACTTGAGGTTAAACTAGGGACTAAAATGATCTGGTAAAATAAACCATTAGTTTAAAAGTTATTGTAAAAAATTAATTACACTTTGTCTGCAGGGGCCGCGCTTGTGCATACCTTAATCAGATACTTATATATATTAAAAATAGGCTGCACGAGCAGCAGTATTATATCCACAATTCTCTTTACATTCAGCCTATTGTCTTGCAGTACCATCGATAGTCAGATGAGGGCATAGGTTACCGCTCCCTCACCTAACAAACTGTGGCGGTGAATGAGGGAGATTATCGGAGTGAGCAAGCTAACTGTTTACAGTCCAAATCGCCTTTACTGGAACATCGCTTCCTAACCTTCGCCGAACCCTGATTGGAACAAGACTTGAGAGGCAAGACAGAGAACCAGAGCCAACCAAGTCAGAGCTAAATGCACCGGTCCTCCTTATAAGACAACACCCATCTTTCACAGCACCACTGCCATGTTAACACAGCCCCTTCAAACACTTTTGTGTGTAGAGATGGTGGGTTGTATAGCATTTTATATTTGGTGTAATTTAGTCATCATAATCGTTTGAAAAACGATAAAAATATTTACTGCCAAAACAATAAGCTTAAAATAAAACATATAAACTAAAAATAATAAACTCAATGAAAAACAATGCAGTAAAAACTTGTGATCACTGTCGTTGTGTATTTATCTTTAACAACCCTTACGAAAAAGAAGTTTATTCAAGTGTGCTATTAGTATACTTTCGTGGTGCATCTGTTGGCATCTAGCATGGTGATATTGGGTATTGTGTAATTACAGGCAGGGAAGAGGAGTTGGACAATCTGCAGGGATTAAGGCGGAGAAAGGAGGGGGATGTGTGTGGTATTGACCTGTCCACAAAGTTCATTTCCATCTTGTCCCAGCCTGGACCCTTTAGTTTGCAGGTGATGGGGCAGAATTTGTGGGTTATTAAAGCAATGATCCAGTTCCAATTGCAGGCATGCAATTACATTTCCTGTGAAATCTTGCATGTCTCCTTGGAAGTTTTAGAGAAGATCTCAACAATGTCTCAATTTGGCTTGCCAAAATACCAAAATCTGCAACAAAATATCAAATTTCAAATTAATCATATTCTTCTTAATGGTGAAGTCCACATTAATTTTATAGCTCTGTACTCTCATTTATGTCTGTTTAGATTTCTCACGCAGAAACATATGGAAAACGTCAGGAAAAGTTCATTTTTACAGAAACAACTGAGAACTGAAACATAACTGTCAAGCTTTCTTTCTTTCTTTCTTTGCTTGTAGGCATTAGCGTTCACCTACACTAGGTTTTCAACATCCAGTCTGTTTTTGGTGTGTAACTGTCCGTTCTGCAGTGTGCATCGCTGCACACGATGCCCACTTCCTGACGACCCACTCAGCTGGCAGGGTTAAGCTCACCGTCCCTGTACCTGCCAGCTTGCTCTCTTAAGGGGCATCGCCGGCTTGCCATCTCTGAGGTATCACCCTCGCCCGCCATCTGCGCCCCGACAGACGCTCGTACACCACACTGCGCCGCAGCTGTTCCCAGGACAGCGGGAGGTCGAGTGGTGAAGTCTTGCTGCCACCCTCACTGCCTCACGGTGCCCCCTGGGGCCTGAGCCATTCTGCATTCAGCATCACAAACACCTTCTGTGATATGAATGCGAGGTGTGTTGATCACCGGCTTCTTTGAAAAAGAACTAGAGGACATAGAGGAGAAATGTTTTGGTAGGCTGGAATCGCCATTAAAAGTTAAATCCACTTAGACACCACATTACATAGGCTACTTTCACTCTGCAGTTATTAAATGTGGCCCAAATCTGTTTCCCCCCATGTGACACAGATGTGCTGTGGATGACAGTGTGTACAGCAAAAATCACCTTGAATCTGGGCCATTTCTGATCTGGCTCAATTTAACGTGACTTGACACGATTTACCCTTGAAGAAGATGGAGGACTGGGAGAATGGATGGTTGAATGATGAGGTGTTGGACAAACGGGGTTAAGGTTTCACCGGTTAGCATGGCCCTGTTAGCCCCTGCCAGTATAAATACACAGTTAGAAGCCAGGGCCCATCACAAAGTATTGTACAAATATAAACATCTAAAAGACACATTTTTTAAAAACTAACTACTTTTTGCTTGATCGCTGTGTTTTTAGAATGCAGTGTCATGCGCGAGACACTGCAAAAGTCTGTACCAGTCTTATTTTAGTATCATTGATATGCTGTTATAGTTTTTGTTCATTTATATACTTTTAGTAATGTTTTATTTCAAGTAATGAAAATGGTGTTTTTTTTACGGTTTTAGTTTTAGTTAACGATAATTACCCGGTGTAGTGCATGTGTACATACAAAAACATTGGAAAATCTGCACTGCAGCACACACACACACACACACACACACACACACACAACACTTTCTTTGTAAACAGTCCTAATTGGAGCAACAATTTCTTTTCTCCATTGATGGCCATTCAAATGTTGTTACATCTATCACCATAGACATGCTAAACATGCAATTTGAAACCAGTCATCATTTCGCAACTCCACAACTTCATAAGCTTTGCCTCAAAGCTTTGCCTCAATTTCATTCTTAAATCTGAATAACATCAGCATAGGGTGTCACATATGTGGATCAATTTGGGATCGCCACCTGTTCAAACTGTAGTCTGACATAAGCCACATTCAAAAAGTTATTATTAATATATAAAATATTATTAATATAATATTAATATATAATATATAAAATTATTATTTATATATAAAAATAATTGGATTATAATATATAATAAAATAATGTATTATAAACTAATAGAATAAAATAATAAACTGTAATCTACATAACAATAATAGACTACTACAATATAAACTTTAACAAACAAAAAACTAAATCAAGATCATACTTTTATTTTCTTTGAGTAATAAAGTGTGTATTATAAACTAATAGAATACAATAATAAACTGTAATCTACATAACAATAATAGACTACTACAAAATAAACTGTAATAAACAAAAAACTAAATCAAGATCATACTTTTATTTTCTTTGAGTAATTATTGTTTTTGTTGAAGCACATACAGTTCTCGTATATAGAATATAACTTCCCAAATATAAAATCACAAAATGAATCATGTTTAACTAATTTAGTATATCAAATTAATTATCCACATAAAAATGAATGAGTTACACAATAAAAGTTGAATACTTCAAATTGGATGTTTGTTCAAAGCTCTAACCCTTAAGTATGAGCAATAGTAATATGGATGCTTGCCTTTGCAAACACCAATAAATATTCTTCAGTGTCCCCTAAAGCTGCCTGCAGTTTCAGACATTGTAAATGTATTCAATCTTTAGAGGTAAGATCATATTCCAAAGAAATTGGCGCAATGCTGCATCAGACACAGTAGAATTACATTGTAGCCTCAGTGTGGTGGATGATGGGAAAAAAGTGTCAGGTGTTATTGAACGCTGGTGTCTGTCCTCCCCCCAGAGGCTGAATGGATTCTGCCGAAATTATCACTGTCAAGGCCAATCCAATAAAGGTGCAGCCTCTTCTATAAGCCCTTCTCCCTTTCAGACATTTCCCTTTCTCTCTCCAATATAGATACATGTGTGTGTGAGTGTGTGAGTGTTACATTTAAACCATGTGATCTGCTTCCCTCCTACCCAGTGTGTGTTGTGAGACAGTGTTCTGGTTCAGATAACAACGCTGTAATGAAACAAGGGAGCTCCCAGGCAAAGCGGGCACACACACGCACACACACACACACGCACGCACGCACGATAGCAGTACTGTAGTAGGGAATAAGAAAATGCATAGTGTGCTTTGCCCTTGGCTGCGTGCGAGTGATTGTGCATGGAGAGCAGGGAATAGAGAACCGAGGAAGGAAAATAGGGGGGACTTCATACATTTTTATGACCGCACAAGATAAGGTCAGTTGTGTGCCATCGTTACTAGGCAACACTGCAACCCAGTATTGGATTGAGTTGTGAAACTGAGCAGTCAAATTCGCAAGCTTTATTGGACTCATCTCTTTTTATTTGTTTATTTATTTCACAGTTGTTCATGAGCAGAATGACACACTTGCTGGTCATTTATTCTAATTGTCAAGCACAAAAAGATATACAAAACAATAATGACTATAGCAGTCACCCACACCGACAGCTGCTTTCAAAATCTGAAATGTGAAATATGCTGGCTTCACAGAGAGTATAAGGAGGTGGGAAAGCATTAAGGCACATTTGAAACCAGCAACCTGTCTATTAAGATACACTTCTAAGATACACTTCTGTCTATTAAGACAAAAGTATTAGGACACATCTCTTAATTATTAAATTCAGGTGTTTCAATCAGACCCATTGCCCATAGAATACTGTATCCCACAGTGCAGTGCACTGGAGCTGATCTTCCATTTGTAGTGTGACAGTTTACCCCGAAGAAATTCCTGCTGCAACATTTACTTATTTGAGATACAGTATTTTTTTTTTATTTGACTAGACCAGGGATTCCTGTATTATTATTATTATTATTATTATTATTATTATTATGATTTAACTCTATCAAAATAGAGAGATATAAGTAGTTCAGTCATGAAACTCTAGATGGCGCAGGCTGACGGGTTGTTAACGTAACTGATGATATTCAGAGAGTTAAACGACTTGGCACAAGCTGATTGGTTCATGCTGCATATGCAGCCAATGAGCTTACTGCCTTGCATTTATATGGCTGGCTAGCATTCACTAGAGATTCCTGCAGCGCGCCTTTCAGAGTTCTCTGAAACCCTCCACCTTCCCCAGCTCCACCTGTATAGATCTGCTATGGGTTATTTAGCTATTTGTGCAGCAGCAGTATGTCTTAAATACTCACAGCACCGTATCACCATATGCACTGGCAGTAGCAAGTTCCTGTACTTGCTTGCAGCAGCAGCAGCAATAATCTACAACTACAGCAATAACCAACAGCAGCAG